GGTCCTGGCAGATACTATGTCAAGAACGGGGATGGGAGGCCTGGGTTTGAGGCCTGGTTTGGCCATTTACTATATGACAGTGGGCAAGTCAATTAGCCTCTCTGAGCCTCAGTGTTCATGATTTTAAATTAAGGTGGTGTGACCAGCAGAATTGTGGCCTCCCAAAGATGTCCAGGTCCTGAGCCCTGGAATCTGAATAGGTCACTTTACATGGCAAAGGGGACTCCGCAGATGTGACTAAAATTAAGCGTGTGGAAGTGGGAGAGGATCCAACGGGCCCAGTGTAATCCTTAGGGGGACGATGGACAAGGAAGGCGGAAAATGGTCCTTTCGGGCGGACTCTGCCCACCTGCCTGACTGCCGTGCTGGCTCTGAAGATGGAGAGAGTGGGCCGGGAGCCAAGGAACGCAGCGACCTCCGGGACCTGGGAACAGCCCTCGGGTACAGCCAGCAGGAACAGGGCACCTCGTCCTACAGCAGCAGCAACTGGATTCTGCCGACACCGGCCGGCGTGGGAAGCAGATGCTCCTTCAGAGCTCCCAGAAGGCACGCAGCCAGCAGACGCGCATCCTTTCTGTCCGGTGGAACCCGGCCTGGACCTCTGACCTCTCGGATTGTGAAGTCATACATTTGTGTTGTAAGCCGCCAGGTGTGCGGGTTGGTGGATGGTAGCAATAAGGCAAGGAAGGCACTTCCTGGTGCGGGTGCGTGGAGGCTCTCCCCGGAGAGGCCGGCACCAGCGGACCGGACCCTCGCAGACTTGAGATGTGCTGGAATGTGAGGTATTTACATGAGGAGGAGTGTGGGTGGTGTGAGTCTGGGGTGGGGTGGCTCTCTCTGCCGCCTCTGCCCCTCCTCTGCTTGCCTTTTGCCTTAGGTGGCCCGGACCCTGCAGGCGAGTATCAACCCAGCCGGCAGCCTGTGCCTACCGCCCTGCCACGCGTACCGCCCTGCCACGTGTACCGCCCTGCCACGCGTACCGCCCTGCCACGCGTCATAGAGCTGGCCTTTCTGATTTTGGAGCCAGCTGCCCATGGAGCCTTGTGGGTTCCTGCTGTGGCGTTCCAGAGGTTCATGTGGGGCCAGGCATGCCCCCACTCTTCAAGCCGGCCTGGGAAAGGATCACCGATCCCTCGTCGTTGGCTCACCTTGGAGGCTTTTCCTGGCCACGGCCTTCCTGTGAGGATTGTGGCCCTCCCAGGGCCCATGCCATGTCCTTGCTGCCAGGCCCTCTTCCCTGGAGGCGGGAGAAATTGAGGGGGCCTGGCAGCCATGTGGCCCGGGGGCCTGTGTCATTCAGTAACGCTCTCTGAGACCAAGGTTTCCCAGTCCCTGGGTCCTGGTGCGGCATCGCCTCTCCCTCCACCGGACAATCCAGCTGGCATGGACAGGGGTGCAGGCACACTGCGAGCCGGACCGGCTGTGAGGAGGCACCTGCGCCGTGTCTGCTGTGGGAAGGCAGCCTGGGCTGCTGCCTGTCGCCTTGGTGACTGTCCAACAGCAGCCTGAGCCCCGCCGCCAGTGCTGCCTGTTGCACTGCAGACCTCGCCAGCCAGGCGCTGCAGCGCTGGGCGTTTCTGGGTTGGCACACTGGGAGGCAGAGGAAGTCGAGCTGTGCTGGTGACTCCTGGCAAATGTGCGGTGGGCTGTAGATGCTTCAGGTAGAGAACCGAAACCCTAAGATGGTAAAAGTAACATTTACCATGGAATGAGGGTAAGAGCAGTTCCTCACCACAAAAGAGATGGACATGGAAAAGCGGGGGCAAAACTCGAGCCCCCTGCACCCTGGCTGGTGTCTCGGTTGGACCATCACCTGTGCACCGGAAGGCGGCAGGTTTGATTCCTGGTCAGGCACATACCCAGGTTGTGGGTTCCATCCCCAGTCTGATCGATGTTTCTCACACTGATGTTTCTCTCCCTTCCTCTAAAATCAATTTAAAAAAAGCTGGGTGCCCTGGGCCAGTTTCCTGCTCGCTGTTCTGCTTGACAAGGAGGGAGGGCAGCAGGTTGGAGAAAGGACCCCCGTTTACAGGCCCGGGGGTTTCTTCAAGCCCCAGGCCCTTGCGAGGGAGGCGCTGGCAGTCAGTGTAGCACACAGATTCCTTCTGACTCCAGAGCAGCTGTGCTCCCTGTCCTGACCATTAGTCCCAACCTCAGCCCCCCCACCTTCTCCCTCTCATCACAGACTCCCCCCTTGAAGGGAGGAGGGGGTAGGAGTTGCCTTATACCTATTTTCAAGAGCTAGTAAGATAGTTGATGACAAAACATTAGGCTTCAAGCTTTTAGTAAAGCCTAATATGTTTTTGTCATCAACTGTCTTACTAGCTCTTCACAGAATACAATTCTCTTCTACTGACTGAAGAACTCACTGCCAGTCACAGATTGTGCTGTTAAATCTGGAAGAGGAATGCACAGCTGGGTAGGCATAGGGTCCAATTGGGTGGATCCTTTGCTTTCTTGACTTCGGAAGAAGCCCCAAGGCTCACTGACCCAGTAAGTAGTAATTTGCAGTGTTTCTGGGATACAGATTTGACTTTTGTAGTGTTGCTGTGGGCAGGTCACCGGGGGCTGTGTGGTGAGCCCAGGCACCCGTGCACCAGCTCCGGGACTGGACAAAGCTCATGAACACCTTCGGTCACATTCCCCTCCTGCACTGTCACCAGCTGAGGGGTCTGCCTGGGACTGGGGCACAGCTCCCGATGCTCAAAGACCACTACTGCACCGTCCTGCAAAAGGCAGGGGCCAGAGCCCCAGGCGATCGCCTAACAGTAGCTTCAGCATCCGAGGCCTTACCGCTTCGTAACCTTTTAAGATTATATATGTGCTTTAATTGATTTTAGAGAGAGAGGGAGAGTGAGAGAGAGAAACATCCATCAGCTGCCCCTCGAACGCCATCTACTGGGGATTGAGCTCAAAACCCAACCGGGGACTCTTGGTTCATGGGTCAATGCTCCACCAATGAGCAACACCGACCGGACTGGGCCACTTTGTAACCTTTGTAACCTTTTTATTAGGTTACAATTAGGTTACAGGCAATTTTAACAGACTGCACAGAAGCATCCTGTGTGCCCTTTACCCCGTTTCCTCCATTAGTAACATTTTGCAAAACTGTAATACAGCATATACTAGGATATTCATATAGTTAGATACAGAATGTTTTGCCCTGGGCAGTGTGGCTCAGTTGGTTGAGCATCATCCTGGGAACTGAAAGGTCACTTAAAAAAAAAATCCTCACCCAGCCCTTGCCAGTTTGGCTCAGTGGATAGAGCATCGGCCTGCAGACTGAAGGGTCCCGGGTTTGATTCAGGTCAAGGGCACATGCCCAGGTTGTGGGCTCGATCCCCAATAGGGAGCCTGCAGGAGGCAGCCAATCAATAAATCTGTCTCATCATTGAAGTGTCTATCTCTCTCTCTCCTTCTCTTCTTCCTTCCTCTCTGAAATCAATAAAAATATATTTTAAAAAGTCCTCACCCAAGGAATGAAGAGATTTTTTCCATTGATTTTTAGAGAGTGGAAGAGAGGGGGTAAGGGAGGAAAGAGAGAGAGAAACATCGATTGGTTGCCTCCTACTGGCGCCCTACTGTGGCTGGGGATTGAACCTGCTACCAAAGTATATGCCCTTGACCAGGGAATCAAACCAGTGACCCTTTGAGGGTCGACGCTCTAACCACTGAGTAAAATAGGCCAGGCCAAAGGTCACTGGTTTGATTCCCGGTCAGAGCACACGCCCAGGTTGTGAATTCAGATTGGTCAGGGGCAGAGTGTGTATGAATTAGTTGGTTTCTCTTTCTCCCATCCTCTCTCTCTTAAAAAAAAATCAATAAAAACACACTAAAGCCCTGGCCCATGTGGCTCGGTTGGGCATCACCAGTGCACCAGTTAGGGCATGTGCCCAGGGCTGTGGGCTCAGTCCCCCGTGAGGGGCTTGCAGGAAGCAGTCGAATCATTGTTGCTTCTCTCTCTCTCTCTCTCTCCCTCTCTGAAATCAATAAAAAAATACAATAGACTAAAAAGAAACAGAATGTTTCATCTCGTTTCCTTTTTACAACCACACTCACTTTCCTCCGGCCCCCACTCCTTCCTTAAGCCCTGGCAGCCACTAATCCAGCGGTTCTCAACCTGAGAGTCGCGACCCTTTGGGGGTTGAACGACCCTTTCACAGGGGTCGCCTAAGACCATCGGAAAACACATATATAATTACATATTGTTTTTGTGATTAATCACGATGCTTTAATTATGTTCAATTTGTAACAATGAAAATACATCCTGCATATCAGATATTTACATTATGATTCATAACAGTAGCAAAATTATAGTTATAAAGTAGCAACAAAAATAATTTTATGGTTGGGGTCACCACAACATGAGGAACTGTATTAAAGGGTCGCGGCATTAGGAAGGTTGAGAACCACTATATCTGTTTTTCATTTTTATCAACGCCCTGCTTTTTTTTTTTTTTTTTCTAATATATTTCCATTGATTTCAGGGAGGAAGGGAGAGGGAGAGAGAGAACATCAATGATGAGAGAGCAGCATGGGCCGGCTGCCCCGCCCGGCCAGGAGCCCCTCCTGGGGATGATGCCCGACCGGAAGCGCACGGCCGCCAAGCCCCGCTTTCACCAAGACTCGCTTTTCCCACAACCAGAGGCGCCGGCTCCGGAATTCGGTCCCGAGAGCTGGCCCGGCGCCGGGGCCTCCCCGCCCGAAGCAGGAAAAGCCCGCGGAGAGGAGGCTGCCGCGAGCGGTGTCTCCTCTGCCAGGCGCTCCGCCCGCCATCGCCGCCCCGAGCCCGGGGCCCCCGCAGGCAGCCGGCTCGGCGGTTCCCTTTCCCTCCCTCCTCCTCTCGGGAGCGCAGCCCAAGTCCCCAGAAAAGGCCCCTCTGGCTCCGGGCTCCCCGCGGGGCTTCGGGACCGGGAGCCGGGCCGGCAGGTGCGCGGCGGAGGGTGGGCGGGGCGGCGGCCTCCTCCGGGCCGGCCTCAGGGGACCCCGTTGCTAGAGGCGTTGCCAGGGAGGGGTCACGAGGAGGGGCTCGCTTCCGGGCGGAGGACAACTGGTAACCCGGAAGCGGTCAGCAGTGCGGCGCTGTTTAAAGATGGCGGCGGAGGAACCTCAGCAGCAGAAGCAGGAGCCGCTGGGCAGCGACGCCGAAGGTACGGACTCCGGGAGGACCGTCCGGCCGGGGCCAGGGGGGCGATGCGGGGCCGCCGGTTCCCGAGGCGGCGGGGGGTGGGGCGGCCGGCGGTGAGGACGAGGCGCGCGAACGGCCCCTTTCTCCGCCGCCGCCTCCCTCCCCTCCCCTACCCTAGTTGAGATTGGGTTTTTTCGCGGTTCTTTGCTTAATGTACTGTCTTACCGCAGGTGGATTTTAAAATAGAATTTATTTTTATTATCTTTGGATGTTTATCATTTTCCATCTACTTCAATAGCTACAAATTACTTAAACTTGGCCTTTAAGTAGACCGTGCCATACATTCAACCTGCCGTGGGGTCCTCTTTGGTCTTCTGACCCTAGCTTTAGTTTTCATCCTCCG